TTAGTTATAAAAAGAGTTTGTAGAATGTGATTTAATTTTGTAAAAAGTAGTAGTAATGTTTTTAAGGTGTTTAAGATAGTTAATATAGTGATTAGTATTCCAATTTTTTGGTTTGTATAGGTTTGGAATCAGTAATAGAGTCAATATTTCTAATTGCAGTTGTATTATCAATATGAATATTTAAAAGGATGTTAGATGAAACTGCAAATAAGAGAGTAAGAATTGCTTCAGGTTCAATACAGGTTGAGTCAGGATATGATTGTATAGCTGCATTGAATTTTATAGATAATAGCATATTATATGCTATAACTATAGGATATTAGAGTACTATACAAATAACTGCACTTCAAAAACAGACAAATGGCCTTTTGAGAGAAAGCTGAGTAAATTCTAAGAAACAAGACATGTCACACAGATAGAAACTATAACTGACTACTTTTGAACCTCCAAACAATCAGTAGTAAGAAGTTTAGCAAGACCAACATCAGTAGTATATTAGAAAAAAAAATAAAGACATTACTTTTAGTATTAAATTTGCTTAAACATAGAATCCTATTATTTTTCAAAAATTTGTTTTATCTATTACTATTAAATACTTTATAGCAATACTATATTAAATAAGAACAAAAAACTTGATTAGTAATAAAGTTAGAGAGACTATTGAAAGAAGAAGCAATAGTCAAACTAAAAAAAAGAGCTTTAAAGACTGAACTGTTTATTAGAAGTAAGTCTAATATTTTTAAAATCAAAATTGAAAAAAAATAAAGGCTTATTATAAATTGTAAAGATTAAACAAAACTTTGTTTAAGAAATCAGTTTGTTTTAAGAACAAAACCTTTATTTAAATAGTAAAAAAAACTAATAACTTATAATAATAGATTTGAAAGGTAGTTATCACTACTTTCTAATAACAAAAAATATACAAAAAATCATAAGATTCAGGTTTCAAGAAAGCTAAACTACTACTATATTCTACTATTCAGATTAAGTTAAGTGGTATAAGTTTTTTCAAAGATAATGTAAGCACTAATTGAACATTAGTGTTCTATAGGCATCTACTGTGAGAACTATATAGACAACATTTTGATTGCTCATCCAGAAGTCAATATTTTGAGATATTAAAGAAATTATGTAATTACTTCAGACTTAAGACTAAATGGTTTAATTTTAGCAAAAAAAGAAAATTAAAAACTTATAAAGAGATCCAAATTTTATAATAATTTTAGATGAAAAAATAAAAATAACAAAACAAGCTCTAAAACATCTTACAATACAACAAGAAGTTATAGCATAGTTTTTGGTATTAGTAACTAGTATATTAATGAGCTTAAGCAGAGCTTTTATATTAGCAAAATTAAGATGCCTAAAGTTTTATAATTTGATTGATACAATGTAACATAAATCATGTAAGTGAGATTAAATAATAAGGTTGTTAATAAGGTCAAAAGAAAATACAAATTTGTTGGTCAAAATTTAAAAAAAAAGGTTTTTCAGAAAAAATCCTTTATATATACTTTTATTGTTTATAGATACTTTAATAACTAGCTAATTAGCAACACTATTTGCACAGAAAGCATTTGAAAACTGAAAAAAAAGTATCAACATGTAAAAATAGTGAAATTAAAGTCCGAGACAACATTATTAAGCCTTTGATCTTTTGCAAAAAGCTGATACATTATTGGGTAACAGTTTTTATAAACAATAAAGTTGTAAAAAAACAATAAAATCAGAAGAGAAAGCATCTTGGCAGAAGGAATACATAAGAAAAGTCTGAAATTTCTGTAATAAAACAGATCTTTGAATATATAAATGTCAAATACAAAAATCTAGTAAATGAATTTATAAAACATTATGTTAAGTTCAACTGAAGTTTAAAAAAAAATATTTTTAGACTATTAGATCATGTATAGGGCCCATATACAATAGACAGAATAAAAAAAAATTATATCCTATATTTCAAGGTTCAACTCATATTGATATTGTCTAATTACAGAAGATGTTGATTGTTTTATATAAGACTGAAAAGAAGAAATAAACCATGTACATACTCCTTTAGATCAAATGGATTAGGTATTTTATTATATGATAGAAGCAAAGCAACTACAATGATAATTGTATTAGTTTGGCTTTTAGTTCTCTGGTGGCCAATTATGCTACAATATCTGCATTAGAAATAGTTATTGTCAGACCCAAAAGAGGCTTTTTTCTAAATATAAGTAAATTGTCAAAATCACTAAACAACTAAAATTAAGAATTTATAACAGTACAAATACTGTTTTGAGCAACTTGTTGTCATAAATACATAATATCTTGTTATCAAAATCATTATATGATCATAAATTAATAGTAGTTTGAAATGATTTTGTGGACTTCTATAAGACACATGAACTAGTAACTTTATCAGCCTCACAAAACAGTTTGTTAGCATACTTAATTTGAGCAAATATATAGAGAAGAACTTTTAAGCTAGCAAAGGTATTGAAACTTATGTGGATAACCTACCAAAAGATGCAGATTACAAAATATGATTATATGACTGTATATTAGTAGCAATCAACCTATGCACAATGTGTAGAACAGTAAAGTTAGCAGTTCTTTTTCTTAGTAACTTTAAAGAAAAGAATAACCTTCTATAGATTTACATAAACAGATCAAAGACTAACCAACAAGATACAGAAAATTTATACCAATTGAATCAACTAACTTTAAAATTTGCTCTATCAGACTATAGAAACAGTATTTACTAGTTATAAAGAATTTAGATAAAATAGTGTTTCTGTCAACTAAAAATGAAAAACTTCTATAGAGACTGTCAGTTCAATTGTCAAATAAGTAACATATTATGCAAGTTTAAAAAGAAGGTATTCAAACCATAGCTTGCATATAAGTGATACAATGGCTATGATAAAGACAAACCTTTCGCTACTACAAATAATGACTATAGGTAACTAGGTATCAAAAGCAGTATTGCTATACTTAAGAACAATTGTGACAACACAGATAAACATATCAATAAAGATGAGATTTTAGAGAATTAAGAAAATTTTTATTTTTTCAAAGATGATTCTCTTTTTATTTACATAGCTTTCTACATGATGTATTTTTTACATTACTTGAATTATAGAAATTGATTTATTAATTTATTGCATTATTGATATATTGAATTATATGCATAGTTTAGATTAAAATCTAAGTGAAAATAATAAGACTGACTGTGACATAAACACAGGAAGGATATTATTATAAGAATCACCTGATATATAGGATCTAATGATGCCGATATGAAGTCATAAATCAAATAAGTTTGTATGAATTATGAGGTTATTGACCTTGCGAATCTAATGATAAGTATAAATAAACCACAAAATACAAAGAAGGAAAATTGTGCTTTTCTTTTGTTGCTTTTAGTAATTGCTCAAAAACCTATTTTTCTGACTAATTGAAATGTTCTTCCCTCTCATCTCTCCTCAAGGAAATTCATTTAGATAACCAACCAAACAGATATACCCATCGATGTTATTCAATGCTGTAAAACAATATATTTGTGACATTAAAATTAGAGATTGAGTGTTCATTTGCACTGTTTAAGGAGTAGAATAAAGCAACTTTGAAACCCCCACACTGTACTGAGAAGTAAGAGGGAAACAGCTATGAAAACCCCACACTGTTTTGGAAGGTATAAGAGAAACAGCTGTGAAAACCCCACACTGTTCTTGGTAAGACGAACCAGCTGTGAAAACCCCACACTGCTCTAAAAAGAATGGAGGGCAAAGCACGCTCACACTGTCTTGGAGATTGCAAAAAGAAGTAAGTTAGATTCCAAATGAAATATGAAAAGGTGTAAACATGACAAGATGTAAAAAACCACGTACGGGCAAATGGCAGTGGCACTATTCCCATAGCTTTCTACATGATGTATTTTTTGCATTACTTGAGTCATGGAAATTAATTTATTAATTTATTGCGTTATTGATATATTGAAATATGTGCATGATTCGGGTTAAAATCCGAGCGAAAATAATGCTAGGAGTTCATCATTTTGCTAGGTTTTGCAATTTCGCAGTTTCGTTAGAAGATTTCTTCTTTCGTCTTTTTTAGGTTTAAATTTTTTACCATTTGTGTAAATGGATTCATCTAATAACAATAATTTTGACACTGGTTTTTTTTTTTTGTATTTTCTATTGTTGATTAGAATTTTACTGGTTAAAGTTGTCAGATAATTTCGTAAGCTTTAAATGACCCAATATCATGTTGAAAATATCTGATTGGCGTTGGGATGGAATAGTTGTATATAATAAAAGGATAGATAGTCAATTATAAATAATTACGCAAAAGTAAACATAAATAAAAATCGTCATATCGCATCGGAAATGGCGTTTTGGTACCAGTAACTGCCAAATTTTTATTCACTCGACTATAATGTGTATATTGATTTATTTACTTTCCGATTGAATTCCGACAAATAGATACGTATTTTTTTACATTGAAACTCAATAAAAGACATTCCGGTGAATCATATACATAATTGAGCATCCTGCTTTGATAACTTGCTACAATATTAGTAATCTAACAAGAAACTTGTTTTACTATCAGGGAATGATCACACTCATAATATTACAATATGTATGCTTAATATTAAATTTCATAAAATCAAATCTTGTGTCAGTTTCTAGTAGATCAAACGTGCATGTTTTGTGTACAAAAGCTTGGGCCTATTATTTCACTGAAAATCAAAATTTGAAACATATCATCCTGCATTTATCGTTAGACAGTACTTCATGGTATGAACGTACGTACATGTGGCCAAAGCGTTGCTGATCAAATCATGTCCGTGATTTCTGATCTCATTTTGCAAAACATTTATGCTTGACTTTATTTTAAAAGTTTTTTTTAACAAAAAAAATAAATTGAAAATGAAAATAATAAATGAAAACAAAATTGTGCAACAATTTCTACAAATACAAAAAAAAAACAAAAAAATCAAAGATTTAAACAGTTACTCATGGCCAATTGTATATTGTCGTAGACTGATTATTAAATAAATTAGAAGAATTGAGATGATCAAAAGGATAAACAGAATTGTAATTAGAAGGACATATTACAGTAGTTAAATTGTTTTCATGGAATTCATGACTGTAGTCACCATTAAGTGAGATATTTTGAGAATAGGCAAGTGGCATAATGAAGACGCCGTATATAATTTCCTGAATCCCATTTTGTTGTTGGAGTTCCTGCGAAGATTGTCCTCCAACGAAATTAAATGAATCGTGAGTGTTATAATTCATTATAGGAACATTATTATTGTACGGGTGTATTAGAGTCAAATTATTAGCCAGAAAATCTATGGAGCATTCCGTAGCACAAAATTCACTTTTATTATTGTATTGTTCAGTAAATTGAGCACCGTTAAATTTATTAATTGGCCTTTCTTTGGGACCTCGTTTTTTACCCGGTTTGAACCAACATTTAAGGTTCTTTTCTTTACACGGCATGCAAGGAACTTCTCCAGAGCACTTTGCATGTTTTCTTTTACAATTGGTGCACGCTATGGGAGCGTAAGAACCTCTTGATTGAACTTTGCTCATTGTATCTTGCAAGAAAATTTGAAAATTTGAAGATGTTTGAGAATCGGTTTAAATATTTGAGAGACAAATTTATGATTTCAGTAATTTCAGTGTTTTAAGTAATTACGGTAATTTATGATTTCAGTAATTTCAGTAATTTTTAATACTTTCAGCAATTTCAGTTCATTTCAGTAATTTTTATACAGAAATTTTCGGTTTGGATCAACATATGCGGATCTCTTTTATATTTATATATATAAAATGCATAACTATGCATAATTTATGTTTATTTAACAAACATCAGTCGGTAATCGGTAAATATAGTCGGGTGTAACAGTGTGTAAGAAAAAAATCGGATGTAACAGGAGGTTAAAGAATCGGATGTAACGAGCGGTAGAGAAAAAAAATCGGATGTAACAAGCGATGAGAAAAGTCGGATGCAATAGCTATGAAAAAGTAAGCGATAAAAAATATCGGATGCAGGGTGCAGCAAGCGATGAAAAATATCGGATTCATGTGTGTGAAAATATACGATAAAAATTGTCGGGTGTCTGTGTAACAAGCGGCAAAAAAAAAAAATAAAATAGAAAATAACAAATTATATGTCAATTGTAACAATGAAAATTGTCGGAATTGCAACAATGACGATAACAGCAATGAAATAATAAAGTATCGGTATCAAATATCGGTATCAAATGTTGGTATCAAATGTTGGTATCAAGTGTAACTATAGCTTTTCGGATGTAAACCGTCGGATACCAAACCGAGTGTCGGATGTAACACATAATGCGAAGCATCTGATCTGATCCCCTATTTTGAGGATTGTGAGAATTTCGTCATGTACTTGCATAAAACTTTAATGATGACCAGTATAAATTTTGTTGTATAAATTTTGATTTAAGCTGACATAAAATTTTCTTATATATGCTTGTTTAATTAAGCTTAATCATGTGAGATCATATAGACCAGCTAATTAACGGATAATCGCAGCAGTTATCGCAATAGTTATAGGATTTATTAAGACATCTAGCATTAATATTTTGAATTAGATTATTTTCATATGCATCCAAAATGAAATTCAGTTTCTTGTAACCGTAAAAACTTTTCAAACCGCAAAATAAAAAAAATCACGCATTATATATTGTGCATTATATATTATATAAAAATCTTCAAGATTTATGTATTTTAAAATTAACAGTCTAATACAGGAACTAGGATATGAAAACAAATAGTCGGGAACTAATAGAATTTCATACATTTATGGTTACCGGTCATGCGCTTTACTAGAATCATGTTCTAAGACTTAACTAAATACGCAAACGTACTACCTATATTGCATATGTACCAATGCCGCGGTTAATATTTACTCGAAAAAAATAACAGAAAAAAAAACCGGTTAACTGTTTTGTCGGCCGAAATATTAGCAAATTTAAAGCATATTTACTACAATTAATCTTTGATCCGATCCGCCACTGATGATGAAAACACATTTATAAAGACGGTTTTTTTTTCCTGTTTTTTGTTTTCCCTGAAAATATCAAAAAACAATAATTATTCCATTTCTATTGAAGAGTGGAACCCATTGTTACAATTTCATTTGTTGAAATTTCAACGAACAGGACATTTCAATATGCAACAAAATAACAATTTTTTCATTATTGAAGATAATCCTAAACGACCTAGAGCAGTTCCTAAGGCGAAACGTGCGAAAAGTGCTTGTACCTCATGTCGTAAGTCTAAAAAGAGATGTGTTAGAAATATATCTGGTAAAAACCGGTGTGAAAGATGCGAAAAACATGGGAAGGAATGCATTTATGCAACTGGTAAAGACTAGAAAATTTTTCTTGATTGAATTTTTAAAATTTTAAATAGCTTTCTGAAGTTTTCTTATTTGAATATTATTTACGAGTTAAAAAAACATTTAATTTTTTGAATTTTACATCCTTTCCTATTTTAAATATCAAATTCGGCAAATATTAGGATGCCGACCACGAATCTCCAGACGTAGTAACGGAAGTAGTAATGGTAATCCAGCGATAACCGGTCAAGCCGATTTGCAATCCGACCATAATGATATCGGCGTAATTGATTTTTCCGACCAATATCTGGACATGTTTACGTACCACTACATGTGTCCGTATCTTTAAATAATTTCTACAAATTATCCTTTTACAAGTTATATATCAAGAAGCTTGTAAAATAATTTGTAAAATATTTATTTGGTGCACATAATACATATTTTTATACAATAAATTGGGATTTTGGTTTTTAAAATCTGTAATCTTTTCAAGGCATCAATTCTAGGTTTTATATATTTTATTAACATTTAATATATTTGATTCTCTTTTTTCTATTTATGATCACTGATTAAAATATTTTCGACAAAACGGTTTTTCAATTTCTTTTGTCAAGTTCTTTTTCCTTTGTCAAGTTCTTTTTCCTTTGTCAAGTTCTTTTTCTTTTGTCAATTTCTTTTGTCAATTTTTTTTGTCAAATTTTTTTGTCAATTTCTTTTGTTAATTGTTGTATTAAAAATCAAATATCTACATAAAAAAAAGCAATTTAGTAATTCGAAAGTGTATGCTATGTCACACAACAAAAAAGTGTGCAGGACACCGACAATTCGGAATATTAATTCCGAAGTGAATTTTTCTATTAATAAAAAAATATTAAATTATTTTATGTCAATCTTACCAATTGAGGTAACCCAACACGAGATTAACACTGTCATCAAACTATTATTAAACAAAACCTAAGTACATGCGTAATAATCTGTAACTCATAATCTATCCTAAACATGCATAAAATACTCGAAATTTAATCTGAATAATTTTTAATTAATAATTTAAAGTAATTTATCATCATAAAGTTTTTATTTGATGTCAAATTAGGATAAGCTTCCGAGTGAATCTTTGTCTGGTGATACAATCGTCAGGAGAGCGAAACACGTATGTATTTAAGTACTGTACATATGTTGGGTTGGTTTCGATGATGAATTTAAGCAATGCAATGAGTGAAATCGTACAATTTGTAATATTTAATAAAATTATACAATGTTTCAACAACATTACTCAGGTCACTTAAAACATTTTAATAAGCAATGTATAATCAACGATTGAGCATTTTAATAAGCAATGTATAATCAACGTTTGAGCATTTTAATAAGCAATGTATAATCAACGAATGAGTAAGTAAACTTTTAAATTACAAATTGTGTGATATTTATTATCGTTATCGCATCGATGTTATCGTGCATTATTTACAAGTCATGATTGGCTACCTGAGTTTTAATTCGGATTGCTGCTTATACAATAAGTATACATTATTGGGCAAAAAGTTTCGAATAACAGTAATTTGATGCCGCTTCGCGGCACGTATCAGCCAATCATTTTCCGGTTGAGCCAAATTACCGTTATTCAAAATTTTGCCCAGTAATTTGTTATCCGACAATCTATGATCATGATTGGTAGGGAGTTGTCGGCTGAGTTTTAATTCGAGTAAACGTGAACATTTCGTAACACCTGAAAAAAAAATAACAGACAGAAGTAAATTTATTATCATAAGAGTTTGTCGGACAACGTACAATAACGTACAACAAATAACAAGAAAAAAATCTATGATCATAAGAATTTGCTTGATAAATATAAATTAGGGCGTTTTATTGTCGGAATTGCAACAATGACAATAACAGCAATAAAATAATGAAATATCGGTATCGAATGTAAATATGACTTTCGGATGTAAACCGTCGGATACCAAACCGGGTGTCGGATGTAACGCACAATACGAGGCACCTGATCATGCTTCCTTATTTTAAGATTGTGAGAGAATCTATCATTATGTACGTGCATACATCTATAATGATAACCAGCATAAATTTTATTTTAAACTGCCAAATAAAATTTACTTAAATATTGTTTGTTTAAAATTCATTTATTGAACTTAATCATGTGAGATTGTATATGCTAGTTATTTAACGGATAACGATAACAGTTATCGTAATAGTTATAAGATTTATTAAAACATCTAACGATAATGTTTAGAACTAGATTATTGTCATATATATCCAAAATGAAATTAAATTTATTGTAACTATAAAAACTTTCTAAATTATGTATGTGTATACATATACCCGCACGATTAACCCGCACGATTAACAAAATAAAAAATCACGCATTGTATATTGTGCATTAATTAAATTATATAAAAATCTTCAGGATTTATGTATATTTTAAAATTAATAATATAGTATAGGCACTAGGATATAAATAAAATAGTCGGAAACTAACCGAATTGCATACATTTATGGCTACCGATCATACACCTGACTAGAATCATGTTCTGAGACTAACTAAGAATGAGGACTAATGTTTATACCGCATAACTAAATGCACAAACGTACTACCTATATGTATCTATCCGCAGTACTATTTACTCGAAAAATAACAGCAAAAAAAACCGGTTAACTGTTTTGTCGGCCCAAGTAGCGGCAAGTTTCAAGCATATTACCACAATTAATCTTTATCCGATCCGCCTCTGATGCTGAGAGTACAATTATAAAGGACGGTTTTTTTCGGTTGTTTTTTCCTGCAATTAACAAAAAAAACACCATAATTTTCCACTAATTTTCCAATACATTTTCATCATGCAACAGGATAATAATAATATTATTATTGAAAATATTCATAAACCACGTAAAATCTTTCCTAGAACGAAACGTGCTTGTAACTCATGTCGTAAGTTGAAAAAGAGATGCGTTGGAGGTATCTCTGACAAAAAACGGTGTGAAAGGTGTGAAAAAGGCAATAGAGAATGTGTTTATTCAACTGGTAAAGTCTAGATTTTTTTTTTTTTTTTTTGCGTTTGAATTTTTTTAAATTTTTCGATAGTTTTCTAAAATTTTCTTATTTTAAAGTTCGCAAAAATAAAATTGGTAAGAATTTTTATAAGCTCAAAAAAAAAACATAATTTTTTTATATATTACATCTCTTTCCTATTTTTAATATAAAATTCGGGCAAATACTAGGTTGCCGACCACGAGACCTTCATGTGATCTCTAATCATGGTAACGGTAATGGAAATCCGGTAGTAACCCGTCAAGCCGACTTGCAATACGACCATAATGATATCGGCATGGTTAATGTTTCTGACCAATATAATATCGGACTGGACATGTTTGCATTATACTATTTCAATCTCTAATTTATCTTTATAAATGAAATACGTAAAAGATTTCTACAAATTATCTTACTGTAAACCAAACAAGCTATATATTCTAACTTGTAAAAATATTTTTGTACACTAAACTGTATTTAGCATTACAATCTGTAGTAATCTGTAGTCTTTTGAAAATTTCAACTCTACGTTTTATATATTTGATGTATTTATACTTATTTAACATCTTATATACTATACATTATATCAATTCTTTTTTTTTTATTAAAAATCTTTTCACTAAAAATCTTTTCGTTAAATACATTTCCAAATTCTTTTGTCAATTTCTTTCGTTAAATGTTGTATTAAAAATCAAATATCTACTTAACAAAAAGCAATTTAGTAATATTCAAAATATAAAGTGTATGCTATGTCGCACAACAAAAAAAGTGTTCAGGACACCGACGATCCGGGATATTAATTCCGAAATTAATTTTTCTACGTATAAATAAAAAATATTAATTGAATTTTATGTCAATCTTACCAATTGAAGTAACCAAACACGGAGGTTAACACTATTATCAAACTATTATTAAAAAAAGACTTTTAAGTACATACGTAATAATCTGTAACTCATAATCTATCCTAAACATGTATAGATAAATTCAAAATTTAATTCTGGATAATTTTTAATTATAATTTAAAGTAATTTATCATAATAAAGTTTTGTGTTTTGATGTCAAAATTTGGGCAAACTTCCGAGTGACATCATTGTCTGGTGTTACAATCGTCAGAAGAGAAACACTTATGTACATAACAGACGTCCGATTTGTCATGTAAATCATTTTTAATATGAGATCAAATTATCGACGCACTTAAAATTTATATGTAAAAGTTGGTCAAAATTTGCTTACTAGAAAAAAAGTTGCCGTTAAATTTTGCATAAAAGTTCGCAAGTTCTCTAGCATTTGAAGGTCTTCTCATAAAATATTAAGGTGATTGGGAATAAAACGAAGAATAATCGGATCCGCAAAGTTGGTCAAATCATTTAACCAAAATAATGGTCGGTTAAAGCGGAACAGATTTTGACTCTTGCAAATATCACACCCGAAATTGTCACAGTTGCAGTATTGGCTAAAAAGTATGTAGACAAACTATAATATATCGATATTTTTTTTTTTGTGAAAGTTCTGACGCTGACTAAATCAAGAGAATAAAAAGTTATGTTTCGCTACTTAATTCATATAATTTAACAAGGCAAAGAATATTTAGTAAGAGTTCAGATTATAATTTATTACCGATTATTTCGAGAATATAAAACTTATCGCTAACATTATTTAAATTTATATACAATACTATACCCTCTTTGATAATTTAGCAAATAAATTCACTAGTTATCGATATATTGCATTTAAGACAAGTTGTTTGTAAATTTTTTCAGATAAATTTCTCAGCATAGCCATGTGATCTTTTTTAAAAAAGTGAGGTCTTGCTCTGTTCCTTTTATTTAATATATAATTATATTACAAATAACTAATTATATTGTATTACATATTTTCTAAAAACATTAGCTAGGGTTACTTTACATCTAACCCAAACATTATGCAAAGGGTTAAGACTTTGCTTAGATTCAGATTTGTGCAATAATTGCTGGCAAGTTATTGTTTTGAATAAAGCTTTAGACCATATTTTTTTATTATTGGGTCTGTGAATGTTTTTCTGTTATAGTTTGTAGTTTTTGGTTTTGTTGAATCCTTCTGTTTATTTGGAAGTTATTGTTCTTATTTGGATTTTGTTCTCTTGCAGTCTGTTGGCATCTAAAAAGCCAGATTTGTTTATATATATCTTTGGTGATTTTGTGTACTATAGTTTTAGTTAGATTCATTTTGCTTATTATTTTGGTTATTTTTTGGTTTGTGTTTTAGTAAGAATTCTTCTAAGAGTTTGAGTTATAAATAAGAAAAGAGCATTTGAAGATACATTAATATTAGTTATTATTATATTTATGTTTTGTGATGTGTTTTTTTAAATTTTTTAGTAATTGTATTAACAATAATGCATATAATATTAATAACATTATTTGTATTTTTAGAATATGTAATTTAGTAATTGTTGTTTTTTCTTCAGTTAGTATTTTTTACATATTGGTATATAATATTTGCTAAATTACCGATGTACAATATTATTTATAATAGTAGTTTATTGAATAAAAATTTGATTTAAAAAACAAACTCATTCTACAAATTTTATATACAGATTTAACTGAAAATTTGTTTATTTAAAAATACTTATAACTAATTATTTTGCTAATATAATCTGTTTGGAACTTTTTAGTAAAATTATTTAATATAAATTTTTATATATTTTACAAATTTCAAAATTTTAAACATTAAATTTATTTGATAAAAAAGATGATATAAGTGGGCAGGCAGGCAAGCTTATTTATACAAACAACTAAAAAAATAACAGCTAGACTCATTGCATAGAACAAACTATAAAACTTTTTACAGCTATAAGAGTTGAGCTTCAAATAGTTAGTACTATAGTAGAAAACTATTTATTAGGATTAATTACAGTATCTTTAAAGCTTTTTATCCCAAATACATGCTATATTCTATTTTTATTCAAAAATAACTTATTATTTTTTTATTATTCACAAACATTATAATATTTTTCAACATTCAAAGTATTATAACTTTACTAAATTATTCAAAATATCTATTAATCTTTCTTATACAAAAACTCATATTTATACTAATTACAATAATAATTTACTTTTTAATTATATCTTATTTACTTATTATTAAAATTATAAATATTAAGAACTATCTTTAAAACTCTCTATTAATTTTGTTACTAATGACTCTTAACTTAAAGTTAATATTATAACATATAACATTTAAGAATACAATATATAGAAAAAAGATTCTATAAAAAGACTATTACCGTAAAGTCCTAAAAATAAGCAACCCCCAAAAATAAGCAATACCCTGCATTTCGAGATCAAAATGCTAGAAAAATAAAATAAGCAACCTCTTTTTTAAAAATTACTAAATATGTATACTGTATATAAAATTTATTATAAATTTTATTAATTTCAATTCAAATTTTTTACAAAAAAATCAATTTAATCTTCTAGTTCTTTAGCAGATAAACTATCTTCTTCAACTACCTCAAACAAATCTTCATTATTATTGATTTCACTATTCTCTTGATCTGAATTATATAATAAATCGTCTTCTGTCTCATCTAATTCATTAGAAATACCATATTTTTTAAATGATTTAATAATCATTTCTGCAGAAATATCATCCCACGCTTCTAAAATCCATTGGCAAATTAAACTATATGATGGTCATTTTAAATTTTCTTTCTTAGTTAACTGAAATTCGCCATTACTCATCCACAAACACCATTTTTCCTTTAATCAGTCTTTAAATGGTTTATTAATACTCATATTCAAAGGTTGTATAATTAATGTTAAACCTCCCAGAATAATAGCTTTATGAATATTATTAACTGCACATTTATTTTTTACAATATCAGTAAGATGTCTTTCGAATAAATCCATCACAAGCAAAGACAAAGGTTTGTTTACAATTGATGTTTCAGGTCGCTTGTTCCAAACTTGGTCAATCCATTCGCTCATCAAATTTTCGTCCATCCAGGCACTTTCATGCATATATACAACAATGCCACAAGGCAGATTAGAGGGAATTCGTATACCTTTAAAAATTACCATGGGAGGGAGTTTGTTACCATTTGCCGTAATTGCCAAAACACAAGTAAACCAGTTTTTTTCATTTTCAGTTGTTCTAATTTGATCCATTTTAGCACCTTTATTATTAATTGTATAAGAACTTGTCATGTAAAAATAAACAGGTGTTTCATACATGTTTACGATTTAAGAAAGATTATACTGATATTTTAATCGAGTTTGAATTACAAGTTTATGAAATTCAATTATTTTTTCAGTGAGATCTTCAGGTAACTTTTGGCTAATTTTAGTATGACAGCGAAAAGAAAGTTGGTGTCATTTTAAAAACTGGTAAAACTAAGATTTGGATGCATGAAATTGTTGTGAAGCACTCGGATATTTATCTGCACAGGTTGTTGATAAAATTGTATACATTTGCATTTTAATAGAACCTGATGTTATTGCAATTTCCATCTGTCGAAGTTTATTTAACTATTTAATAAGCTCTTCTTTAGCAGCTGGATAAAATGAAGTTCTTCCCGCACCAACACATCAGTTACCAGATACAACATTATTAAATTTTTTTTCATTATTCTTCCATCATGATACCATAGACTGATCAATACCAAAGCGATGTAAAGCAGCCAAAACACCAATCTGTTTTGCTTCTTGAATAACAGTAAGTTTTTCTGATACCTTATAAGAAGTTCTTTAAACATGACTTCTAACTTTAACTGCCTTGTTATTGCCAATAACAGTATTTATTTTTTTTTGTTTTGTTTTTGTTTTAGTCTTTGGGGTTTTTTTTGGTTTCCTTTTTTTTTTAGTATGTGAAAAAACTAAACTACTGGTATTTAACTTGAAAAAGATACAGTGTGCAGCATAAGTAACTAACCTCTTCTGGATCATCATACAGGTAGCACAAAATTTTAATTTTTTTTTATTAAAAAAAACAAATTTAGTACTAGTTACTAATACATTGCAAAGTTCTCATTGGACTCAATTAATGCCTCTATGCGCTTTTTTATGCTAGCAGCTAATTTTACTGCAAGACTACTTGGTAATTGATTCCATTCATTGTTTATTTCTGCTTTCAAAGTACTAAGATTACTAATTTTTTTTTT